CCATGAGATGCTACATGGTGAGTCCCTTAGAAGTCAGTGCAAAGATCAGAGGGAGGACCCTGGATGGTGGAGTTTGGGAGATTTGGGCTAGTTTTCTTTCAGCTTTGGTTGCAATGGAGGTGAAGGGGTGAAGAGGTCCCTATGAGAGGAAACTAAATAGCTCCTGCCAAGCAAGAGATGGGGGACCTTAGAACCACACCAGCCACTGTCTTGGGAGCCAGAGGCCTAATGAGCTCTAACAGGACCAGGAACCTGCACATAATTAGTGTTGTCCTTTCTTTCTTTCTTTCCTTTTGTTGGTTTATTTCCTTCTTGACATTTAGTCTTAAAAAAAGGTCTTGGGCTACAATGTTAGTCTGTGTCTGAGGAAACCCTGGCCTGAGCTCCTCACCAAAACCCTCCAGTTGAGTAGTTCACAGAGGCTCAGATCCTGCTGATGGCCAATCACATGGGGGACCCGGGGCCACAGGCAGATGCTCATGGGGATGGTGGACTCAGCAGTCCAGTGCCAGTGCAGAACGGTCAGGCTTCTTCCCATTCATAGGGCCTGACTCTGCCTGAGAGGCCAGAAGGTTTCCCAGAGGTGGCCTTGTAAGCCTGTACCTGAGAGTGGCCTCACACGAGCATCCACCAGACAGGCAACCAACTCATACACTTGCTAAGGGCCATGATGCACAACCAGCCCTGCTGAGAGAACTAGGAATGATCTAAGCATTGTGGAGGTTCTGAGGGGAGGATTTGTTTATTTGGGGGGGTTGCTGTGGTAAAATTCACCATTTTAAAAATGTTTTTTATTTATTTTATTCATTTAAAAGGCAGCAAGGGAGAATGAGAGACAGAGCCAGACAGAGAGAGAGAGAGGGAAGTCTTCCATCTGCCAATTCACTCCCCCAATTGTCCGCAGTAGCTGGGGTTGATCCAGGCCAAAGCCTGGAATCTATTCTGGTGCTCCCACATGGGTAGCAGGGACCCAAATACTTGAGTCATCACTTGCTGCCTCCTAGAGTATGCATTAGCAAAAAGCCAAATTGGAAGTGGAGCCAGAACTTAAACCCAGGCCCTCTGACATAAAGGCACTGTAATCGCTGTGCCAAAAACCTGCCCCACTTCACCACTGTGAAGTGTAAAAGAGACGATCTCTTTTATAGCAAAGCACCAAGATCCAAAACATCCAGAATAAGGAGATGTAGGAGTAGTCTAACCTCTCAACCCATTCCTGCCTCCTCCTGGTCAGATAACTGGATCCATTGTTTTTAGTTCAAGAATTCCTCGCCTTTTTGTAGTAGGAGTCTATTTTTTCATGCCCCAGAATCTGGAGATCATAGGGAAGACAGGAGATGGAATACAGCTGTAATACAGTACTGTAAAACAGCTGACGTGGAGAAGGGAAGAGACAAGAATTGGTTCTGCAATGAGTAGTAACTGAGAAAAGAAAGAACTGAGACATGTAGTGGGAACCACAGGGTTTCTCTCTGGGATCCATCTTCCCAACCCATAGGCATGACACATGACCCTGCCTGTCTGGATTTACTGGCCTTTCTAATAAATGCTTAAGACTAGTCAGAGTCATGTGGACTTTTTACAATCAGGAGAGCATTCATAAGCACAGCCCTCCAGGATTCCTGCTTGACCACAAATCCAGGAGTCAAGAAGTGGGAGGCAGAGGAGGATGGTATGGAGAGCTTTCAGGGAAGACCTACCAGCATGTTCCATCAGAGTGAGAATCTCTGTACTATGTGGGAATTTCATTTCCCAAGACAGAATCTAGGTTGTGTTTTCCTTATTCTCTCGTCTCAGTGTCCTCATATCAGTGTCCACATATCAGGGCCTTATTAAGTAACTCAGTGTCACTCATGTTGAAATTCAATGCAAGTTGCCATTGGTAATTACATGGGCTATTTTTCAAATAACCACCTAATAAACATCTAGATGACTATTTCTGCAACCAGAGATTAAGCAGTCCAAAGTCTATCCTTTAATCTACCAAGCAGAACGTTCCAAGGCAGAAGCCCACGGACTGGACAATTACTGAGCCATTCTCCATGGTCCCATGCTGAAGTTGAAAAGCCCTGACCCAAGGCAAGGCAATTTATGCCCCACAGCCTGGATGACCATCAAACCAAACTTTCAGGAGCCTGACAGCAGTGAAAACCTAGCAGATCACCCCACACTCCTTTACCGTTTAAAACCACTCAGTTATTTTGATGCTCCTGGAATGAGGACTACACAATAAACACTGTAGGATCCTAACGCGAAGCATCCTAGGGCAGTGTCTACAAACCTTTTGGATTTAAAGGGCTCTCCTTTACACTCCTGCTCTCTCTTTCCAGGATCCTCCTCGCAGACACTCTGGCTTTGGAAAGGCAGTAAAAGCCAACAGTCAAGAGCACGGTCTCTGAGGCCATACCACCCAGGTTCACACTCTCAGCTCCACCACTCACTAGCCACGTCACCTTGAGCAAGGCACCTAACCTCATGGTACCTTAGTTTCCCTATCTGTAAAATGTAACTAATGATAGTACCAATCTCATAATGTTGTTATGACAGTTAATTATACATCCATTTAATACATGTAAGGTATCTGGATCAACTCTTCCCACTTAGGAAGCAGGTAATAAGGAAGACTTAAGGGTGATGTTACCAAGATCCCCTCAGTAGAAATCCAACTTGTAACTATCCACAGGCAAGTATAGCGATTTGAAAGAAAAAGCTGGTAATATTCTGGACCTGGGTTAGGACGGGAAAAAAATGAGGATACCTGAGAAATTATGACACCTCACAGTGTAGCCAACAACTTGCCACATATCTGAATTCTAGAGTTGCCTTGTTTATCTCATTAAACATTCATGTATAAAAGATATTTACTAAGCAGGACAAGCATTTGACATAGAGGTTAAGCTGCCACTTGAGAAACCTACATTCCATGTCGGAGTGCCTGGTTCAAGTCCCAACTACTTCACTTCTTTTTTTTTTTTTAATATTAATTTATTTAAAAGCGAGATTTGCAGAGAGGCTGAGGCAGAGAGAAAGAGAGAGATATTCCATCTGCTGGTTCACTACCCAAATGGCTGTGATGGCTGGAGCTGTACCAATCTGAAGCCAGGACCCAGGAGCTTCTTCTGGGTAGTCCACGTGGGTGCAGGGTCCCAAGGACTTGGGCCATCTTCTACTGCTTTCTCAGGCCATAGCAGAGAGCTGGATGAAAAGTGGAGTAGCCAGGACTCCAACTGGAGCCCATATGGGATATGGGCATAGAGGGTAAAGCTTACCTGCAGTGCCAGCTTTACCCTCTACACCACAGCGCTGGCCCTGCTACTCTATTTCTGATGTAGTTTTCCTGCTAATTTGCATTTCTTTTTTTTTTTTTTTTTTTGACAGGCAGAGTGGACAGTGAGAGAGACAGACAGAGAGAAAGGTCTTCCTTTGCCGTTGGTTCACCCTCCAATGGCCGCCGTGGCCGGCGCGCTGCGGCCGGCGCACCGCACTGATCCGATGGCAGGAGCCAGGAGCCAGGTGCTTTTCCTGGTCTCCCATGGGGTGCAGGGCCCAAGCACCTGGGCCATCCTCCACTGCACTCCCGGGCCACAGCAGAGAGCTGGCCTGGAAGAGGGGCAACCGGGACAGAATCCGGCGCCCCGACCGGGACTAGAACCCGGGGTGCCGGCGCCGCTAGGCGGAGGATTAGCCTAGTGAGCTGCGGCGCCGGCTTAATTTGCATTTCTTGGGAGGAAGCAGGTAATGGCTCAAGTAGTTGGGTCCCTGCCACCCATGTGGGAGAACTATATTGAGTTCTGGGCTCCTAGCTTCAGCCAGGCACAGCCCTAACTGTTATGGGCACTTAAAGAGTGAGCCAGTGGATAGAAATTCTCTCTTCCTATCTCTCCATGTGTCTCTATGCCTTTCAAGTATAATTAAAATAAATAAAATTTTAAATACATGTATTTATTTACTAAGCATCAACTATAGAGAAGAGTTAAATAACACAAGGACAGCAGAAGGGTACAGGTGGGAAGGCAGGTTCTTGTTCAGGGCCACAACCTCTATCCATGATCTCACACTGTGCTAAAATGCTGGGTATAAAATGGTGAGCAATGGAGACAGAGTCCCTGATCTCACAGAGGTCTCATTCTAGTAGAAGAAACTGATTTACATAATAGCCCAAATAAAATTATAAGAATAAGTCGTGTTACATTTCACGAAAGAAAGCACAGAATGCTAAACAGTATGTTGGAGGGGGAGGGAGTGTCATGGAAAGGACAGAGAAAAGTCGCCTAGTTCCCCAAGCAGAGTCAGGAAGAAGGGTTCCTGACAACAGAGAAAGCAACAAAGGCAAGGGCCCCAAGATAAGGAACTGAAAGAAGCCAGAGATCCGATAGAGGCAGAGGCAGAGGCATATGGAGAGGGAGAAGGGGAGGGGGTGGGAGTGGGGGAGGAGAGAGGGAGGGAAGAGGGAGAGGGAGAGAAACAATAGGAGCTAAGAGGGTTGGCAGACACACATACTTTCATTATTATACTGAGAGAAGTAGAATGCAGTTCTAAGGTCTCCTCCATGCCTCCTGCACAGCACATTTCTTACTTACTTCATATTAATAACAGGAACCTAAGTTCTTTTAGAAAATTAAGATAAGCATGGCTGCCGCCGTGGCTCACTAGGCTAATCCTCTGACTGTGGCGCCGGCACCCTAGGTTCTAGTCCCAGTCGGGGCGCCAGATTCTGTACCAGTTGCCCCTCTTCCAGGCCAGCTCTCTGCTGTGGCCTGGGAGTGCAGTGGAGGATGGCCCAAGTGCCTGGGCCCTGCACCCCATGGGAGACCAGGAGAAGCCCCTGGCTCCTGGCTTCAGATTAGCGCGGTGCGCCGGCCGCAGCGGCCATTGGAGGGTGAACCAACAGCAAAAGGAAGACCTTTCTCTCTGTCTCTCACTGTGCACTCTGCCTGTCAAAAAAAATTAAAATAAAATAAAATAAAAGATAATCAGCAGTGCTTAAGGTGCTTACTTACACAAGACAACGGCTTAAAAATATCTTTGTTCATGTTGTGGGTATTTCTCCAGAGGACAGCTTGGTCTTTCAAGGATATAATTTATTTCAGGGGCAGAATCTTCCTATAACAAAACAAATCCAGCAATTGCATCGTATGATTATCAATTTCTATTACACTACCCATGTAAGAGGTCTGTACATCCCATACAGACCATGTATGTGGGATTCACTATAAATGTGTGTGTATATAGACCATCTCCCTGCCACCTCTCCATTTCAAAGGGCTCCCTTTACTTTAAAAGCTTGGGAATTAAATCAAAAAGCAATGACTTTTGAGATAAGAAGTCATTTAGTGCCCCCATGGTTAAGGTCATCAATATTCATTTATAAGTGCCATTCTATAAATCTAGCATTTGCTAGTTTTTATGAAGTCAGGATGACCAGTTCAACTACATGGCATAGTTAAATTTAACCACTGGGGGCACTGTTAACCTTTCCTTTGAATTCTTTAAACTGTTGAGAGGACAATTAGCTGTCTGTCTGCTAACTGACACAAGTTGACACAGGTACTGGGTGTTATCATATCTACCAATGGATCAGAAATACCCCTGACACTCCTATATTCAAACAGGAAACACACCTTACTAGATTTCAGAAAAGCTTCCTTCTGTGTTGTGGCTTTACCTGGAACACCACTGTATCCTTCCCTGGATTGGGAGTCTGTATGCAGAGAAGGGGAGTGTGCTGTGGGCCACTGAAGACTGTCAGCTCTGGAAAGGAACGACTGCAGGACCTCTACTTAAGGAATGCCATCTACAAATTAGCTGCTACACACATTGCTTAGATCTAGGCTCCACTGCCTCCTCCTCTGGCAACCTGCCCAAATTCCCAACCAACTCAGACACCTACCACCATATACCCTCAGTTCACCATGTACTGTCTTGTTAAGCATCACAATTTTACACTCATTTTGTGGCTACGTGATTAATGTCCATCTCCCTAACCAGACACTCAGCCACAGTTCCTGTTTCACACTGTCAGCATAGTTCTAGCTTTATCAGAGACACTCACCGTGTCTGGGTGCTGCTGAGCTCTGTGGGATGCCAGAAGACGACACACCCTTTCATGGATCTTCTTCCATGTGGGCTGAGAACAAGGACGAAATCTGCTCAACAGATTAAATGCAGTGGAGTATTATGCTGCTACCAAAAAGCACACTTTTATTTAGAGTACATAACAAGGGTTGATATTTGAAACTTATTCCTAAGAAAAAGGCAGAAACATGTGAAATGGTATGCATAGTGTGATTCTGAGATCTGTATTAAACAGTACAAAGGAAAAGCATTAGGGAATGAAAATAACCAAGATGTTAAGAGCTGTTATGACTATAACTGATTCATTTCTTGTTTATACTTTACTGGGTTTTTCATATATGTCTCTGATAAACAAATCCTGCTTTTACATTTAAAATTTAATCCTGAAAACATTAATATAAAATTTAATCCAAACTTTTCACTACCACAATGATTGTAATATTTTAAAATTTTGTTTATTCATTTTTATTTACTTGAAAGGCAGAGAGAAAGAGAGACAGAGGAGTTCTCCCATCTGCTGGTTCACCCTCCATATGACTGCAACAGCCAGGGCTAACAGTGTCTTTCAATTCCTCAAACAGGGAGCATTTTCTCCCTTCTCACACTGCTCCCTCCGCCTAGAATGTGCCAACTCCCAACCCCATCCCTTCTCTTGCTAACTTCTACCCACCCTTCAGAGCTGGCTTCAGTCTTGGATTCCTCAGGAAGGACTCTCCTGAGGGGAAAGGAGAAGGAGATCAGCTGCCCTGTTCATGCACTTGGAGTTCCATTTTCCATGCTTCACTCAGAGCACTTCTGTCAGCAGACGCTCTGTCACTGTCTGCCTAATGTCTTTCTACTCCTATACTGAAATTGAGTCTGAGACTCTGATAAATAGTTTATCATAGGACACAACTGGTATTCATATTTTTTTTTATTTGACAGGCAGAGTTAGACAGTGAGACAGAGAGAAAGGTCTTCCTTCCATTGGTTCACTCCCCAAATGGCCGCTACGACCGGTGCGCTGCGCCGACCTGAAGCCAGGAGCCAGGTGCTTCTCCTGGTCTCCCATGCGGGTGCAGGGCCCAAGCACTTGGGCCATCCTCCACTGCACTCCCAGGCCACAGCAGAGAGCTGGCCTGGAAGAGGAGCAACCGGGACTAGAACCCGGCACCCATATGGGATGCTGGCACCGCAGGTGGAGAATTAACCAAATGAGCCACGGCGCTGGCTCCCAACTGGTATTTATATTATAGTAGGGACTCAAACCGGCGACCATATGGGATGCCAGCACTGCAGGTGGTAGCTTTACTCACTAAGCCACAACACCAGCCCCCCCTAATACTTTTTAAGAGTAGAAATATTGGTACCAGCATTGTGGCACAGTTTTCAATGCCAACATCCCATATAAGTGCTGGTTTGAGTCCCAGCTGCTCCACTTCCAAACTAGCTCCCTGCTACACTGCCTGGGAAAGCAACAGAAGATGGCCCAAGTGTTTTGGCCCCTGCCATCCATGTCAAAAACCCAGATGGAGTTCCAGGATTTGGCCTGGCCCAGCCCCCAGCTGCTGCAGCCATTTGGGGAAAAGAATCAATGGATAGAGGCTCTCTCTCTCTCTCTCTCTATGCGTGTGTGTGTGTGTGTGTGTGTCCCTCTCTCTCTCTAACTCTGCCTTTCAAATACATAAATCTTTAAAAAGACTAAAAAATATTTTAAAGTGATAAATGAAGTTTAAAAACAGCTACCAGCTGGACATTGCAAATGCTCCCTCACAGGTCTTGAGTAACTCTTACTACCAAAGCAATCCCTGCATTTGTTACCGTTATCTATTCCACATCTATTCCACACATGTGATTCCATTCTCTGAGAGTGGTAAGTTGACAGATGGGAGCAATGCTGCTCCTGGATGCAGTGGGAAGAGACAGGATGTGGTAGAAGGGATATGGCACTATCCAAACGGTAGGACCATTGTTCCTCCCCTTTGGGGGACTACCATTTCTCACCCTGATAGTTCAAGGGCTTTCTACTTCTTCCACTAAAACTATGGGCTGACACTCATCCCAAAATATAAATCCCAACTTAGCCCCATCACTTTGGCCCTTACTGACTTCATTGCTAAGCTAGCAGAAACCTAGAAAGTGTTTCTCATGCACCCTTGTGATACTGGCACAGACAGCTTGGTTCTGATGGTGTTGATGTGAAAATAACAGTGAGTGAGGTGGGGACAACCCCCGGGTCCTTAGAAGCCTGCCTCAAAGATCCCTCTCAAGTCAACAGGGAATGGAGTCCGCCCCCAGGGCATGAAGGGCATCTCCTACATTCAAAACAGCTGTCTTAAAGACAGTCTCTTCAAGGCCACTTCTCTGAAGTTAACTGACTATCCTGGTCTGTGACTCAGGCATTTCCCTGGATGCAGTTTTTTAACATCCCCTGCTAGGCTGCAAGTTCTCAGAAATCAGAAATGTCTTCAATAGTGCTGTTTCCATTTCAGGCCTCACAGGTGATCAGTCCTGTTTTTCCTCTGAGATACTTTTATCACAGAGATTCTGCCCTCCCCTACACACAAATCCTCCTGATTTTGATTCAGTTAACATGAGGTCATTCTGACGGTAGCCAGAGGGGGAATCCCTGGCCTGCTGCATGGATATCCAGGAAAGGCTGGCTGAATGAATGCATAAACCCTCAGATGTAAATAAAGAGAAACAAGGAAGAACTCCCTCCTGCTGGAATTAATCTCCTCTTGCTTTCTCTCCCCTGCACTTAGACTGTTCTTCTGTTAAGTGCATACCACAATCTATCTCATATTTAGAGACACGGGTGTATGTCTGCCTTCCTGTCTAGTGTGTGAACCACTAGAAAACAGAGACATGTTTTGGTCATGTACACTGCACAGAATAGTTGCCCCATAACTGTGAAATCAATGGAGTCTGCCAGAAAAGTTTGCTGTACTGAATGTAAGGAGATTGGAAGATATACACAAACAAGACACATGGAGCTATAGATTTTCCCTAGTTATGGCAGCCGAGAAGCACTTTGTGGCTGAAAGAAAGTGGATCTTTGAAGCCAGTGACATGACGTAGAGGGTAAAACTGCCACCTGCAGTGCGAGCATCCCATATGGACACCAGCTCAAGTCCTGGCTGCTCCACTTCCAATCCAGCTCTCTGGAAAGTAGTGGAGGATGGCCCAAGTCCTTGGGCCCCTGCACCCGTGTGGGAGACCCGGAGGAAGCTCCTGGCTCCTGGCTTTCGATCGGCACAGCTCCAGCTGTTGTGGGCACTTGGGGAGTGAACCAGTAGATGGAAGACCTCTCTCTCTCTGTCTCTCTCTCTCTCTCTCTTTCTCTCTCTCTCTCCCTCTCTGCAACTCTTCATTTCAAATAAATAAATAAATCTAAAAAAGAAGAAAATGGATCTTTGATCATTATACCCATTTTAAAGATGATGAAACTGAGATGGAGAAGACTGACGATTTGTGTGAGATTGCAGCATTTAGGGGCAGATGAGCACTAGAACCCCAGTCTCCTGACCACCCCCATTTGACATTGATTCTTTGGACTGGACAACCTCCCCTGCTCTGCCAGCTTGCTGAGTTCCAGGCTGGTGGTAAGAGCATAAACCAAGGGGGTATGGACACCAGGCACAGAAAGGATGTGATTGTGTCTCTAATTGTCAGTCTCTGTGCCAAACTGATTTTTGAGACATTATATGATTTTCTTTTTTTTTTAACTTTTATTTAATGAATATAAATTTCCAAAGTACGATTTATGGATTACAATGGCTTCCCCCACATACCGTCCCTCCCACCCACTACCCTCCCCTTTCCCACTCCCTCTCCCCTTCCATTCACATCAAGATTCATTTTCGATTATCTTAATATACAGAAGATCAGCTTAGTATACATTAAGTAAGGATTTCTTTTTTTTTTTCTTTTTCTTTTTTTCTTTTTTTTTTTTTTTATCTTTTATTTAATGAATATAAATTTCCAAAGTACGTCTCATGGGT